GGGCAGTTAGAGGCGATCAGGCCGTCAGGGGAGGACAGTTGGGGGCGATCAGGCCGTCAGGGGAGGGCAGTTGGGGCGATCGGGCTGGAAGGGGAGGGCAGTTTGGGGTGATCGGGCAGGCAGGGGAGGGCAGGTGGGGGCGATTGGACTGGCAGGGGAGCAGTTAGGCGTCAATCAGGCCGGCAGGGGAGTGGTTAGGGGGCGATCAGGCTGGGAGGCAGAAGCGGTTAGAGCAGGGGTGGGCAAACTTTTTGACTTGAGGGCCACAATGGGTTCTTAAACTGGACCGGAGGGCCGGAACAAAAGCATGGATGGAGTGTTTGTGTGAACTAATATAAATTCAAAGTAAACATCATTACATAAAAGGGTACGGTCTCTTTTTTTTTTTAGTTTTATTCATTTCAAATGGGCCAGATCCGGCCCGGGGGCCGTAGTTTGCCCACGACTGGGTTAGAGGCAATACAGCAGGTTAGTGGTTAGGAGCCAGCAGTCCCGGTTTGTGGGATCGGGCCTAAACCGGCAGTCGGACATCCCCCAAGGGGTCCCAGATTGGAGAGGGTGCAGGCCGGGCTGAGGGACACCCTCCCCCTGTGCACTGGGCCTCTAGTCTATACTAATAAAAGGGTAATATGCTAATTAGACCGGGAGACCTTCTGGAAGATCGGCCATGGAGGGCAGCTGGGGGACATGAGGCCAGCCGGGGAGGGCATTGGGGGCCATGAGGCCGGCAGGAGAGGGCTGTTGGGGGCCATGAGGTCGGCAGGGGAGGGCAGTTGAGGGCCATGAGGCCTGCAGGGTAGGGCAGTTGGGGCAGGGGAGGGCAGTTGGGGGCGAGAAGGCTGGCGGGGGGTGGGGGGGCTGCTGGGGCAGAGCGGGCCAGCAGGCAGAGTGGTTAGAGGCGATCGGGCAGGCAGGCAGGTGAACAGTTAGGAGCCAGCAGTCCTGGATTGTTAGAGGGATGTCCGACTGCCAGTTTAGGCCCTATCCCCTAGGGGTCCCAGATTGGAGAGGGTGCAGGCTGGGCTGAGGGACACCCCGCTGTGCAAGAATTTCATGCACTGGGCCACTAATATATATGAAAGCCTCAGTGACTGTTACAACCAATTGACCGAACGACCAGATGCTATGACACGCACTGACCACCAAAGGGCAGATGCTCAATGCAGGAGCTGCCCCCAGTGGTCAGTGCACTCCCACAGCCAACCTCCCGTGGCTGGCCAACCTCCCACGGTCCCTCCCCCCGGCCGGCCAGCCCTGATTGGCCCCAATCGGGACTGGGCAAGATGGCCCCGATCACCTGCCAGGCCGAGGGACCCCACCCGTGCATAAATTTGTGCACCGGGCCTCTAGTTATCTAATGAAAGTTTACAATCAAATTTTCTCAATTGTCCAAATAATGTCCTTCAACTATTTTTTTTTAAATCCAGGATCCAAACAAGAATCAAGTAGTACATTTACTTACTGTGTCTCTTTTGTCTCCAATAATCTAGAACCCATCCTTAATTTTTTTTTAATCTTTCATAACGTCAACATTTTTTTTTTTTAAGTCCAGGCCAGTATAGTTCCACAGACTGCCTCCGCAATTTGGACTTTTCTGATTACTTCTTTATATATTATATTGAGGTTAAACATTTTTAATGCAAATATTATGTAGGTAATATTGTCTCCCATTCTGAGTCCATTCGAATCAAGCTTTGGGCCCTCCTCTCATCAATATGGCTTACCAAAGTCACCAACAGGGACTTCCTTATCACTAAATCCTAAAGTCAATTCTTAGTTGTTCACATGAGATAATCTGTCAGCAATATTTGACACACCTTCTTCTTGTGGGTTTGGAAACACCACTCTGTTCTGGTTTTCCTCTAACTTCACTGGCTTCTCCTTGTCAGTCTTTATTGAAGAATTCTCCTTATATTCTAAACAGTAAATATTAAAGTGCCCCCAAAACTTAGTCCTTAGATCTCTTTTCTTTTATTTTTAATTGTTTTCATTTTATTTTTTTCCATCTCTTTCTTTTAATTTAGACTCACTTACTCACCAGCTTCCAGGGCCAAGACAGGAATCCACAGGAAAAAAAACACTCATGAATGGGATTACTCTAAGTCAGTGGTCGGCAAACTCATTAGTCAACAGAGCCAAATATCAACAGTACAACGATTGAAATTTCTTTTGAGACCCAAATTTTTTAAACATAAACTATATAGGTAGGTACATTGTTATTAACTTAATTAGGGTACTCCTAAGGCTTAGGAAGAGCCACACTCTGCCAACCACGGCTCTAAGTAATACCAAGAACAGTCCCCGGGAGGGATTATAATCATAATCACAACCATCCTATATAATAAAAACCCAGCGACCAAATGGCGGAACTACCAGAACAACCAGTTGCTATGATGCGCAATGACCACCATGGGGCAGACACTCAATGCAGGAGCTGCCCCCTGGTGGTCAGTGCGCTACCACAGTAGGAGCACCACTCAGCTGACCAGAATGAGTGGCTGCTCCCGCTGCAAACCTGGGCCAACGGGCAGGAACCCGGGCTGCGATCATCGCCTCCTGGCCCCAGGCTCCTCCTCCTCGCTCCCAGCCACCTCCTCTAGATGCCCGCAGGACGCACAGAGCTTCCGCCAGGCTCTCAGACCTGACCCTGGAGGCTGGGAGGCGGGTTCGTGCCACCACGAGACTGAAGCCTACTCCACCGCCTCTCAGTGCTATTGTCCCTGGGCCCGGCCCTGACCAGGTCCCCTGGAGAGGCAAGTGCTCCGGCTCCACGGAAGATACCAGACCAGGGAGCAGCTGCTCAGAGGGCGAGTCCACAGCCACTCGGCAGACCAGGATGAGTGGCGCTCTCACAGCGGGCCAATGCCTGCAGGCCATGCCCCCCATCGGTGCACAAATCCCATGCACTGGGCCTCTAGTCCTATATAATAAAAGCCTAATATGCAAATTGTCCCCTCAACCGGGAGTTCAACCAGGGGGCGGGGCCAGCCACAGCAGGCAACCTCTAGGGACCCTACCCATGAACAAATTTCATGCACTGGGCCTCTAGTCTATATATCTAATCTAATAAAAGAGAAACATGCAAATTGACCGTAACTTCGCTATGCCCCAAGCCACACCCACCAGCCAACAGAGCAACTTATATGCAGATTAACCCAACCAAGATGGTGGCCTGCAGCCACGGAGCTGGAGCAAGCAGGAGGCTTGGTTGCCCCGGCGATGGAGGAAGCCAAGCTTCCCGCCTGCCCTGGTCAGCTGTGGCCTCCGCTAAAGGCAACAAAGTTTCAATTATAGAAGACAAATAAATCCCAGATACCTACTTCCAGCCAGCCTCCACTGGGAGCTTGGGTGGCTGGGGGCCGTGGCCAGCCTGCAAACAGCCATCAGCCCCTC